ATACTAGACTATATAGACTAGACTATAGACTAGACTATAGACTAGACTATAGACTAGACTATAGACTAGACTATAGACTAGACTATAGACTAGACTATAGACTAGGCTATAGACTAGACTATAGACTAGACTATAGACTAGACTATAGACTAGACTATAGACTAGACTATAGACTAGACTATAGACTAGACTATAGACTAGACTATAGACTAGACTATAGACTACTATAGACTAGACTATAGACTAGACTATAGACTAGACTATAGACTAGACTATAGACTAGACTGTAGACTGGACTATAGACTAGACTATAGACTAGACTATAGACTAGACTATAGACTAGACTATAGACTAGACTATAGACTAGACTATAGACTAGACTATAGACTAGACTATAGACTAGACTATAGACTAGACTATAGACTAGACTATAGACTAGACTATAGACTAGACTATAGACTAGACTATAGACTAGACTATAGACTAGACTATAGACTAGACTATAGACTAGACTATAGACTAGACTATAGACTAGACTATAGACTAGACTATAGACTAGACTATAGACTAGACTATAGACTAGACTATAGACTAGACTATAGACTAGACTATAGACTAGACTATAGACTAGACTATAGACTAGACTATAGACTAGACTATAGACTAGACTATAGACTAGACTATAGACTAGACTATAGACTAGACTATAGACTAGACTATAGACTAGACTATAGACTAGACTATAGACTAGACTATAGACTAGACTATAGACTAGACTATAGACTAGACTATAGACTAGACTATAGACTAGACTATAGACTAGACTATAGACTAGACTATAGACTAGACTATAAACTAGACTATAAACTAGACTATAAACTAGACTATAACTAGACTATAGACTAGACTATATACTAGACCATAGACTAGACTATACACTAGACAATAGACTAGACTATAGACTAGACAATAGACCAGACTATAGATAGACTATAAACTATATTATTGACTATACTAGATTAAAGACTAGACTATGGACAAGACTAAAAAGTAGAATATGTATTATATTGTGGACTAGAATATAAATAGACTATACTATAGAACCTAATATTGGCTAATGAATAGAATCCGTCTAGAGAAATGCTTCGGCAACGGGTTGATTTTTGTGACTGCAGTTTGCAACACTTACATACATATATCAAATTCTATAAAAACTCTAACCCATTTCTCTAATATCTGTCGTATATTTGCAATTACTGTTATTAAGTTAATAATTTATAGCTTTATTTGTTAAACTTCTAGTTTTTTGTTTAATGCAATATTAATTTTTTTGTACCAAAACGTTTCTTATATAATTCTATAGACATTAATATTCTTTTTTTTTATTTCAATGTATTTAATTTTTATCCACTGATTACTAACATTATTTGCATTTTTAGAGCATTACATTTTGTTAGTTACTATTAAAGTATTTAATGCCTTTTATTCGTAATATACACATAAAATGACTAGAATTACAAATTGTTTTGGATAAATTAGCGCTTGGTTTAACAGAACCTTGACCATTTCATTGAAAAACTATATATTTTATATTCGGTTAGATATATTTTTGACATTTTTTATTATGATGGTTTTGTAGAGTTTTTAAACATAAACTGGCAATTATACGGATATTATATTTTAAAATTAAATGTTAAAAAATTTAGCTTTTGTTTTTTAATAAAATATTTAAAAGAATTTCATGTTTATTTCAAGAATTTCTAAATAAATAAAGCCTTAACCGGATATTTATATAAATATTTCCACCAACTCTTACTCTTTCTACATTGTCTGACCAATATAATAAAACCGGATATTGTACATTTATCGGTTTGGACTATGGACTACAATTTCATAATAATAAATAAAAAATAAAAAATATCTAAACAAAGTGTTATTTCTTGTAACTACAATTAACTGTAATTTTAAAATAAAAATTATCCTATTAATTGGTTGCATTTTCTCGTATGAAGAATCAGATCACTTGTGTATGTGACTCCCCTTTTACATGTCTCGTATTTTTTGCTTTACTTCCGTTAATTGTCTCTTAAGATTTATATTTCTTTAGGCGATTATTTAATACCTGTAAGACGACTCTTAAACATCAAGTTGTTCTTATTTTTCTTCTTACTGACAAGTACTTGTTGAGCTTGAGACGGCCTAGAGAAGAAAATTCTTTGCCAACTGATGTGTTAAAGATCCATAAATCGTTTATTAAGTGAATAATTAATATGCATGAGAATAAGAATAAAAAAAGGTAAAATAACAATCGTTTTTATTCTAGTTGTTTGCGGAAGACAGTGGGATAACTGGAAGTCAAAGAGTTTAATTATAGACTAGACTATAGACTAGACTATAGACTAGACTATAGACTAGACTATAGACTAGACTATAGACTAGACTATAGACTAGACTATAGACTAGACTATAGACTAGACTATAGACTAGACTATAGACTAGACTATAGACTAGACTATAGACTAGACTATAGACTAGACTATAGACTAGACTATAGACTAGACTATAGACTAGACTATAGACTAGACTATAGACTAGACTATAGACTAGACTTCAGACTAGACTTCAGACGAGACTACAGACTAGACTATAGACTAGAATATAGTCTAGTCGGTAGTCTCGTCTAGACTATAGACTAGACTATAGACTAGACTATAGACTAGACTATAGACTAGACTATATACTAGACTATAGACTAGACTATAGACTAGACTATAGACTAGACTATAGACTAGACTATAGACTAGACAATAGACTAGACTATAGACTAGACATAGACTAGACTATAGACTAGACTATAGACTAAACTACAAACTAGAGTATAGAATAGACTAGACTATAGATTAGACTATAGACTAGACTATATACTAGACTATAGACTAGACCACAGACGAGACTATAGACTAGACTACAGACGAGACTAAAGACTAGATTATAGTCTAGACTATAGACTAGACTATAGACTAGACTATAGACTAGACTACAGACTAGACTACAGACTAGACTACAGGTTAGACTGTAGACTAGACTGCGAGAATATAGACTAGACTATAGTCCAGACTGTAGACTATAGACTAGACTACAGACCAGATTACAGACTAGACTACTGACTAGACTATTGACTAGACTACAGACTAGACTACAGATTAGACTACAGACTAGACTACAGACAAGACTACAGACAAGATTACAGACTATACCACAGACTAGACTGTAGACTAGACTATAGCCGAGACTACAGGCTAGACTACAGACTAGACTACAGACTAGACTACAGACTAGACTACAGACTAGACTACAGACTAGACTACAGACTAGACTTCACACTAGACTACAGACTAGACTACAGACTAGACTACAGACTAGACTACAGACTTGACTACAGACTAGACTACACACTAGACTACAGACTAGACTACAGACTAGACTACAGACTAGACTACAGACTAGACTACAGACTGGACCACAAACTAGACTGTAGACTAGACTATAGCCGAGACTATAAACAAGGCTATAGACATGACTATGGACTAGACTATAGACTTGAGCATGGACTAGAATAATGACTAGGCCTTGTATTGTAGAACTGTGAAGCATTTCTTATTACATTTTTTGAAACTCTGTTACGTCTTGAACTCACTGTACTTCTCACTTCTCCGACCAGGTAAGTCTTTTCATAAATTAACTGCAAAAAACCTGCTATCGATTACATGCAAGTGCAACATCACGTAAAAAAACAACAAATCAACCTTAAAAAAAAATTGTTACTTCTTTTTTGTGTTGTAAAGCTAGTTTTTATGCAAGTTATAGAAGCGGACTAAAGAAGTAATATTTATGTTTTATATGCGATTTATTCATTTTTGTTTTGTTTGCCCATGTTAAGCAAAGTCATTGCCAAGTTGCCAACAAGTATAAACTTGAACTTGAATTTGATATTAAAGTTATTAATGATTACATTTGTACTTGAATTTTGCAAAAAAAAAAATCTGTATAAAATTACATACTTAAGTAATTTTATGTGCATTATAAAATTGCGTATTTATTAAAAGTATCTTGAAGAAAAAACTTTTTGATAACTTTTGTATTACTTGCGAGTAGTTTAGTAAGCGCTATTAAAAGGTTTCTTTGTCAGCACCTACTCAGCTGCCGAAGTGTAAGGGAAGTGGGAGCAAGATAGTGCTGTTGCTTAAGTGCTGTTTACTCTCTCGCCTACAAAAGGCATGATTTAATGTGGATAGAGCGTCATCTCACAGTATTTCGAAATAGGTTTAAATTAGGAAAGTTGAGTCCATTTTCATAAAATATTGCAATTTTCTAATTCGATTTAAAACAAATTTTATTATTTCAACTACAAATTCTTTTGCTTTAGTTAAAACATTAAAATAATTTATGCCATATTTATTTAATTTATTTTTTTCTATCCAAAGTTCATTGATCTTTTTCTGGTGAAATGATCTGTTCTATGAAAATATTATAACAATAAATAAAATAGTATTTTCATTTAAATTGCGTGTTTTTATATTAGATCATCAGTGAATGATAAAACTTATGTACTAAATTACAAAAAAAAAAAAAAACTATTTAAAGCAAAAACTACAATTTAATGTTGAAATATAATATTATTTCTAAATCTAAACATAAATAAACATAGTAAATTATTTAAAAATTTAACAATCATAAATATAACTATTAGAATTTATAATTTCGCACTATTATGATTTATATTTGAAGCGTAAGATTGTGATAAATTATACTACAATGTACAATAATAATATTTTATATTAATATATTATGATGACCAAGTACATTTATAATAATTTTATGGCAAAAACATTTAACAGAATTAATTTAATAGGCCTAAAATGTTATTATGTTTTCAAATATATATGAGTGTTAAGTCATCATTCAAAATCAAAACCATCATCAGAATATTATGATTTTTATGCCATTTCTTGTTTAATCATTCATTGTCCTCAAAAGAGCAAAATACGAATATGAAGTGCTAAGTATCTGAAATAAATTAAAAAAAAAAATAATCTTATATTTTTTTCGGACCATATGTCTTGAACATATGATTATTTTTCTAGACATTTACAATGTCTTTGTTTGAGAACATACCACCGAGATATGTTATCTTCAATACTTACACTTGAAAATGTCTCGAAATTAAAGCCGAACAATGGTCTTGGTCGAAAAACCAATGGAGTTTGAGCTCGTAAAATCAAAAATCGTAAACAATATTTAAACTCCTTAGATTGATCGTACCAACCATCAATTTCGTAAGCAGCATCGGCGACATCAAGAGACTAAAGGATAGAAAGAGAACAAAATAGACTAATCTATAGACCAGACTATAGACTAGATTAAAGACTAGACTATAGACTACACTATAGCAGCACTAAAGACTAGACTATAGACTAGATTAAAGACTAGACTATAGACTACACTATAGACAGCACTAAAGACTAGACTATAGACTAGATTAAAGACTAGACTATAGACTAGACTATAGACTTGACTATAGACTAGATTAAAGACTAGACTATAGACTAGATTAAAGACTAGACTATAGACTAGACTATAGTCTAGACTATAGACTAGACTATAGACTAGACTATAGACTAGACTATAGACTAGACTATAGACTAGACTATAGACTAGACCATAGACTAGACTATAGACTAGACTATAGACTAGACTATAGACTAGGACTATAGACTAGACTAGACTAGACTATGACTAGACTATAGACTAGACTATAGACTAGACTAGACGACTAGACTATAGACTAGACTATAGACTAGACTATAGACTAGACTATAGACTAGACTATGGACTAGACTATAGACTAGACTATAGACTAGACTATAGACTAGACTATAGACTAGACTATAGACTAGACTATAGACTAGACTATAGACTAGACTATAGACTAGACTATAGACTAGACTATAGACTAGACTATAGACTAGACTATAGACTAGACTATAGACTAGACTATAGACTAGACTATAGACTAGACTATAGACTAGACTATAGACTAGACTATAGACTAGACTATAGACTAGACTATAGACTAGACTATAGACTAGACTAAAGACTAGACTATAGACTAGACTATAGACTAGACTATAGGCTAGACTATAGACTAGACTATAGACTAGACTATAGACTAGACTATAGACTAGACTAAAGACTAGACTATAGACTAGACTAAAGACTAGACTATAGACTAGACTATAGACTAGACTATAGACTAGACTATAGACTAGACTATAGACTAGACTATAGACTAGACTATAGACTAGACTATAGACTAGACTATGGACTAGACTATAGACTAGACTATAGACTAGACTATAGACTAGACTATAGACTAGACTATAGACTAGACTATAGACTAGACTATAGACTAGACTATAGACTAGACTATAGACTAGACTATAGACTAGACTATAGACTAGACTATAGACTATAGACTAGACTATAGACTAGACTATAGACTAGACTATAGACTAGACTATAGACTAGACTATAGACTAGACTATAGACTAGTCTATAGACTAGTCTATAGACTAGTCTATAGTCTAGTCTATAGACTAGTCTATAGTCTAGTCTATAGTCTAGTCTATAGTCTAGTCTATAGTCTAGTCTATAGTCTAGTCTATAGTCTAGTCTATAGTCTAGTCTATATAGACTATAGACTAGACTAGACTAGACTATAGACTAGACTATAGACTAGACTATAGACTAGACTATAGACTAGACTATAGACTAGACTATAGACTAGACTATAGACTAGACTATAGACTAGACTATAGACTAGACTATAGACTAGACTATAGACTAGACTATAGACTAGACTATAGACTAGACTATAGACTAGACTATAGACTAGACTATAGACTAGACTATAGACTAGACTATAGACTAGACTATAGACTAGACTATAGACTAGACTATAGACTAGACTATAGACTAGACTATAGACTAGACTATAGACTAGACTATAGACTAGACTATAGACTAGACTATAGACTAGACTATAGACTAGACTATAGACTATAGACTAGACTATAGACTAGACTATAGACTAGACTATAGACTAGACTATAGACTAGACTATAGACTAGACTATAGACTAGACTATAGACTAGACTATAGACTAGACTATAGACTAGACTATAGACTAGACTATAGACTAGACTATAGACTAGACTATAGACTAGACTATAGACTAGACTATAGACTAGACTATAGACTAGACTATAGACTAGACTATAGACTAGACTATAGACTAGACTATAGACTAGACTATAGACTAGACTATAGACTAGACTATAGACTAGACTATAGACTAGACTATAGACTAGACTATAGACTAGACTATAGACTAGACTATAGACTAGACTATAGACTAGACTATAGACTAGACTATAGACTAGACTATAGACTAGACTATAGACTAGACTATAGACTAGACTATAGACTAGACTATAGACTAGACTATAGACTAGACTATAGACTAGACTATAGACTAGACTATAGACTAGACTATAGACTAGACTATAGACTAGACTATAGACTAGACTATAGACTAGACTATAGACTAGACTATAGACTAGACTATAGACTAGACTAGACTATAGACTAGACTAGACTAGACTATAGACTAGACTAAAGACTAGACTATAGACTAGACTATAGACTAGACTATAGACTAGACTATAGACTAGACTATAGACTAGACCTCTACTAGACTAGACTATAGACTAGACTATAGACTAGACTATAGACTAGACTATAGACTAGACTATAGACTAGACTATAGACTAGACTATAGACTAGACTATAGCTAGACTATAGACTAGACTATAGACTAGACTATAGACTAGACTATAGACTAGACTATAGACTAGACTATAGACTAGACTATAGACTAGACTATAGACTAGACTATAGACTAGACTATAGACTAGACTATAGACTAGACTATAGACTAGACTATAGACTCTATAGACTATAGACTAGACTATAGACTATAGACTAGACTATAGACTAGACTATAGACTAGACTATAGACTAGACTATAGACTAGACTATAGACTAGACTATAGACTAGACTATAGACTAGACTATAGACTAGACTATAGACTAGACTATAGACTAACTATAGACTAGACTATAGACTAGACTATAGACTAGACTATAGACTAGACTATAGACTAGACTATAGACTAGACTATAGACTACTAGACTATAGACTAGACTATAGACTAGACTATAGACTAGACTATAGACTAGACTATAGCTAGACTATAGACTAGACATAGACTAGACTAGGAACTATAGACTAGACTATAGACTAGACTATAGACTAGACTATAGACTAGACTATAGACTAGATAGACTATAGACTAGACTATAGACTAGACTATAGACTAGACTATAGACTAGACTATAGACTAGACTTAGACTAGACTATAGACTAGACTATAGACTAGACTATAGACTAGGACTATAGACTAGACTATAGACTAGACTAAAGACTAGACTATAGACCAGACTATAGACTAGACTATAGACTAGACTATAGACTAGACTATAGACTAGACTATAGACTAGACTATAGACTAGACTATAGACTAGACTATAGACTAGACTATAGACTAGACTATAGACTAGACTATAGACTAGACTATAGACTAGACTATAGACTAGACTATAGTCTAGGAGATTAGACTAGACGATAGACTAGGCGATAGTATAGTCATACTATATACTAGACTATAGACTAGACTATAGACAATTAAAATTATTTAAATTTTATATTGTTTAAACTTACATCATAATAAACCATATTACCAGTAGCACACCAATAAAACAATTGAGAAAATGCTGAAAACATATAAATTTGAAATTTGATAGCTAACATGGGTTGATCCTGGGCTAACATGGCCTCAAAGGCAGTCAAGCATATCATAAAAGTACTGGCTGCCATTTGAGCGGCATAATTGTAGTAATAAACCTCATTAATTTTCGAAATTAAACTGAAATATAAAGAAAATTATAAAAAGAAAACATTCGGCTGTTCCCCGTTTACGAAAGAATATCATAAATTGTATACTTAATAATATACTGATGAAATTGAATGGCCTTGCGCAACTCCTGCAAAGCATTATCAGCTGGTTGTGTGGCCATATCTCTAATAAGAATACAAAATATCTTCAAATTCAATGTTGTCTGGGTAAAAATATGACAACCAATATTATCGATGACCACAATGGATAGTAGAACAAATAAAGTCATAAGACTTTGAAATATATAAACCATGGCAAATAGTATGGGATGTTCGGCTGATGTATGCCATTCAAAAGGATATTTAGCTCTATAGGGTGTGGTATCGGGCGTCAAGATCGGCGGCAAGCAAATGGCGGCTGCAAAAAGTATTACCAAATTTACATAGAGAAAAAATGAAATCACTTCGGCTATATAAAATAAACGCTGTAATTTGCGTATTTTACGCGAAGTTCTAGAATATTTTTTCAATTGACTAAAATATTTATGCATTTTAGTAAATTCAGATATTATATACTCTATATCCTTAGCATAATAGGCAGATAGGATTAGTTTAAAGAAAATTAAATAAATCTAGAGGGAAAAATAAAAAAATTAACAATTTAAAGTTATAGGTAAACGATTTGTTATATTGGATGTGTGAAATACCCCTATTAAAACCACTAAATCTTCACCAAATTGTAAAACATCTTGAGAGGCCTCATATAGATCAAACGTTATGCTCACAGCAAATATGATCAACATTACCATGAGAACTTTATTAATGATTCTATAAAGCATAGATTCATTTTTCCAAGTGCGAGGCAAAATAAACATAAGTCTGAAATTTAAAAGAAGTTGGAACTAAAGCAATCTTGGATCCGGTTATTTATATTTACCTCATGTAATTTCTCATATAGACTAAAGATATTTTCCCGGGTTCTTGCTTTTGGAGTAACACTTTTCTTAAATCTGTTAAATGTACCAAAATGCTCTTCAAACTGGCCTCTTCCAGACCATATTCTGCTTCCTCTTCTGTAATTTGTTGGCGGTTGTTAAACTTTTTTATTTCAACTTTTGTCATGGTTTTACTTTAAGTTTAACTGTTAATAATCCCTAGAAATTGCAGCATTTTATATAGTTTTTTTTTTTGTGGAGAAAAAAGATTTGTGGGGGAGGGTTTGGACTTTAGGCCTTTTTGTTTTATTATGTTGTTAAAGTAAATTATTATTTACCGTTTTTTTAACTAAAATATGCAATTTATTGTAAATATCTGTAGGGCCATATTTGCAATTACTAATTGGTTTATTATACAATAGAGATTATAGTTTTATTAAAGGGTTTGTAAGAAAGAAGTGTTAAGTTTTTAAGAAATTTATATTTTTTAAGGAGATTTCTACTCTTACTCTCTTTAGGGTCACTCCATAGGATATTTGTGGTTATACCCATTGTTTTGTTATTCCGAGAGGACTTATGGGATTCTCTTACCTCGAGCTCCCTTCCCTTTAAATCTAATACATTCGCCCTATCGTTGCCGTCTACTCCCGAGTGGCCTGGTACCCATATGATGTAAACCTTACATGTGGGAGAGTATTCAGTTAAAGCTTTCTTACAATCCAACGACCGGTTTTGATTTAACTTTATCACTTGATATTGCCCTAATTGCCTTCTGGCTGTCGGTAAATATGTTAAACCCTATGGGCGCCATATTTATTCTAATCCAATTTACACATTCCGTTATTGCTCGTACTTCCGCCTGGAAGTTTGTATTGTGATTATGTAAATTTAGAACCCCAGACCCACTTTGTCCCCCAATTTAGAGCCATGCGTATAGTAACGGATCAGCGTAGCAATTTGGTTAACGTGTAATGTAATTTTATGCTCTCGAGAAACTTTTTTCGCCCACTTTGAGCAAAGCAGTTACATTGAAACATTGCTCTAGACCCACAAAAGTGTATATATTATTGGATCTAAGATGATCTATTTGTATTTACTTCACACTTTTTTGAAACTTATTAAAAGTCCACCCATTTTTCCCCAAATGCTCACATAGATTCTAGCTGTAACAGTTTCCCTGATATACGATTTTTTGTAATAAATTTTTATGGTAGGTGCCACGCCCCCTATTTTTTCCATGCGTTTGAAAATTCTACTTCTAATAATATAGCAGATATGTGCATTTTTTATTTAATTTATATGTGTGGTGCCGATACCCCATAATATTACTTAGATGTCAAAATTCTTTCTGCAAAATTTGAGTATTCTAGATGTAATAGTTTCTCAGATATACGAATTTTTGTATGTAATTCTTATGGGAGAGTGTCAAGCCCCTTATTACTGGTACGTCCACTTTTTTCTTCAAATATTCACATGAATGTTATTGTTGTTCGTACAAAATTTGAGGATTCTAGCTCTAATAGTTTTCAAAAATTCACCTGAGAGGTGTCACGCCCCAACTGCTAGCTCGCTCATTTTACCTAAATATTCATACTCAAGTGGCTCTCATTAGGGTCACCCGATAGGATATTTGTGGTTCTAGCGACCGTTTTGTTATTTCAAGAGGCCTTCTGCGACTCTTTCACTTCGAGAACTTTCGTTGCCGTCTACTCCCGAGTGGCCTGGTACCCATATGATGTAAACCTTACCTGTGGGACAGTATTCAGTATTACAATCTAACGACGGTTTTAGATTTAACTTTATCACTTGATATTGCCCTAATTGCCTTCTTGCTGTCGGTAAATATGTTAAACCCTGTGGGCGCGATATTTATTCGAATTCAATGTACACACTCTGTTATTGCTTGTACTTCTGTCTGGAAGCTTGTGTTGTTTATGTTTCTTCAATATAGAACTCAGGACCACTTCGTCCCCCAATTTAGAGCCATGCGCGTAGTAACGGATCAGCGTAGCAATCTGGTTAACATGTTATGTATCTTTATACTCTCGAGAACATTTTTTCGCCCACTTTGAGCAGAGCAGTTACATTGAAACATTGCTCTAGACCCACAAAAGTGTATATATTATTGGATCTAAGACGATCTTGCCATAACTAAATCTTTGTATTTACTTCACACTTTTTTGAAACGTATTAAAAGTCCACCCATTTATCCCCAAATGTTCACATAGATTCTAACTTAGATATACGATTTTTTGTAACTAATTTATATGGAAGGTGCCACGCCCCCTTTTTTTCCATACGTTTGAAAACTCTACGTCTAATAATCTCGCAGATATGTACATTTCGTATTTAATTTATATGGGTGGTGCCGTGACCCTATAATATTTCTTAGATGTCAAAATTCTTTGTGCAAAATTTGAGTATTCTTGATGTAATAGATGATGTTCACACGAATGTTAATGTTGTTCGTACAAAATTTGAGGATTCTAGCTCTAATAGTTTTCAAGAATTCACCTGGGTAGTGTCACGCCCCTATTGCTAGCTCGCCCCTTTTCCCTAAATATTCATATTGATACTCAAGTGGCTCTGAAAAAATTTTAAGTCTGTAGCTGTTATTTTTCACAGATATACTAGTTTAATATTATAATTTTATGGGAGCTGCCACTCCCACTGTATCTCATTATATCGCCAAGTGTTCATATGGATGTTAAAGTTGTCCGCACAAAATTTGAGGACTGTAACTATTGAGAATTTGCTTGGTATTGAAAATGGGCAATATCGGTCCACATTTTCGCATACAAGTGGCCCCCCGAAAAGTAGCGAAAAGCGATTATGGCGATGAAATTTGACATAAGTCTGAGAATCGGTCCATAATACCCCTCATATAAGTTCCCCTCCAAAAAATAACTTTAACGACCATTACTGTCTTAGAAATACGAGTCTAGCGCTGAAATTCGACATAAGTAAGTTGCTTATGAGCAAAAAATCTTTCTACCGACTTTTAGGAGGATCGGTCCATAATATACTCCAGCCCCCTATATAAGGTCCTTTTCAGAAATGACTTTAACTGTCATTACTGTTTTAAAAATAAGAGTATAGCGATGAAATTCGACACAAATAAGTTTCTTACAAGACTACCAAATTATATGAGGATCGGTTCATAATTGTCCCTACCCTCCTTATAAGGTTCTCTTTAGGAAATGATTTTAATGCTAATTATTGTCATACGGTTTGATGGTGGGTGGATGATGGTTCGGCATAGCCTAATATAATAGTCTTACTTGTTTTTTGTTGTAATAACTTATTTAAGTACTTATTTGTAAGCGAGGGTGATAAGTACTTGCTTCTAAAGTTAAAATAATGAGTCTGCTGATTACTCAACCAAATCGATCCAACAATGAACATATTTAATCACCCTTTTTCTAAATATTTTTTTTCTTGATGAGAATAAATAGTTTATTTCGCATTTATGTCTTTTTTACAGCCAAACTATAATTTCTATTTATTTTTCCTTTTTTTTGCAGTTATGACCATATATACCTCATGTGTCCATTCACACTGTTTTTTTTTCTTGTGTTTTGGAATCGTAATAACTTACACACGCCCACTTCAATTGCGGCTCGAAGTAATACATTTGAAAACATACAGAAATACAAATAAGGTAAGTTAGAAGAACACGATATTAAATTACAAAATTACATGTTTGTTCTGTTCTATACTTTTGATTTGGAAAGAAAGCCATTGTAATCATCATCTAGTGTTAAATAAGCAATTGAAACTGTAAATACACTTGTATTGTATTCAATTGAATTGATTTATTGGCCACAATATGCCGGCAAAATTTTAATTTGAAAATAATTTATACTTTTGGAGAACAATGATGATGATGATGTATTTAAAGAGACAGACAGACAGACAGACAGACAGACAGACAGACAGACAGACAGACAGACAGACAGACGGACAGACAGACAGACAGACCGACAGACAAAGAAAGTGTGCTGATTTGTAAAGTAAATAACAAAACAGAGAGGTAGTAGATTTTTAAAAATACTTTTAAACAAAATTTTAATAAGAATTCAAGAAATTTTTACCACAAAAAGTAAATCCCCGTAGAAGCAACCTCAATATCTCCTGCAACGTTTTTAGTGTTGTGGTTGTATTTGGCTTGGTGTTACCATTTGGTAAAAATTTCTTAAATTTTTTTTGGTTTTTAATTTTCTGTGGAATATGTAATAAATACATCGAAACCCTATAATTTCCAAAAAATCTATATTCTACCTTGTATTAAGACCCAGCAGGCTCTCTCTATACGATCGTAAATATAAACCTTTGGCAACACTGTTTTAAATACATTTTCTTGCAAAAAATTTTATATTTAAAATCAGTATCTTGTGGTTTCTTCAATGCACGACATGCACATCTTCGTCCCTTTAATTTTAGTATTTTGCACGATCTCGTCTGGTTTTGCGGCTGCATTTTATGGTTTCTACGGAGATTCCGGTAAGATGAGACATTGTTGTTTTTAATAAAAAAAAACAAAATTGTTTACTATTTTTAAGTGTCACGTGAGTAAATAATAAAGTTATGATGAAAGACGCAATATGTATAAAAATATTACAAAAGTTACGACAAAGTGTTATATTATTAAAAATAAAGATGTTGAAAAACAAATCTATACTTTTAGCTCATCCTGGTAAATGTGTTATAAATGGTTTAATCTTATCACCCGGCGAAATTCATTACAATCAAACCAACTGCGAAAAAACTACATGTGATGAGAAAACTATGGTATATTTTCTAAGGTATACACTTCTTCGTGATTATGAAATGATAATGGTTAAGATTATTTAACTGTAATTAATTATTAAACTTTTAGTTGTGGCATATATAAACCACCTAATGATTGCAAATTGGGAGAACCTATATATCCAGATGCTCCATATCCTGACTGTTGCCAACGTCATGAAATATGCAATGCTATAGCTGTTGATGAATAACAATATAATTAATCTTTTTATAACAAACATTTTAAAATTTGTGTTTTTTCTTTTTTGTAAAACTCGACTATAGTCAATACCGAAGACTAAACTATAGTCCTTACTTAAGACTAGAATATAATCTAAAAAACTATATACTAGACTATAGACTTGACTATAGACTAGACTTGACTATAGACTAGAGACTAGACTACATACCAGACTATAGACTAGACTTTAGACCAGACTATAAACTAGCCTATAGTCTAGCCTATAGTCTAGTCTATAGTCTAGCCTATAGTCTAGTCTATAGTCTAGCCTATAGTCTAGTCTATAGTCTAGCCTATAGTCTAGCCTATAGTCTAGTCTATAGTCTAGCCTATAGTCTAGCCTATAGTCTAGTCTATAGTCTAGCCTATAGTCTAGTCTATAGTCTAGCCTATAGTCTAGCCTACAGTCTAGTCTATAGTCTAGCCTATAGTCTAGTCTATAGTCTAGCCTATAGTCTAGTCTATAGTCTAGTCTATAGCCTAGTCTATAGTCTAGTCTATAGTCTAGTCTATAGTCTAGTCTATAGTCTAGTCTATAGTCTAGTCTATAGTCTAGTCTATAGTCTAGTCTATAGTCTAGTCTATAGTCTAGTCTATAGTCTAGTCTATACACCATAGGCTAGACTATAGTCTAGTCTATAGTCTAGTCTATACACCATAGGCTAGACTATAGTCTAGTCTATAGTCTAGTCTATACACCATAGGCTAGACTATAGTCTAGTCTATACACCATAGGCTAGACTATAGGCTAGACTATAGGCTAGACTATAGGCTAGAATATAGGCTAGACTATAGGCTAGAATATAAGCCAGACTAAAGACTCGACTATGGAATAGAGTCTTCCAAACTACGGACTAGCCCTTAGTCCAGATTATAGACTATACTATAGTCAAGACTATAGACTAAACTATAGATTAGAATGTAGTGCACACTATAGCCTATTATAGTCCAGACGATAGACTAGACTATGGATCAGTCTATAGACTATTATATAGTCCAGACTATAGGCTAGACTATAATCCAGACTATAGACTAGACTATTGTAGACTATAGGCTATAGAATATACTGTAGTCCAGACTATAGACTAGACTATAGTCCAGACTATAGACTAGACTATAGTCCAGACTATAGACTAGACTATAGTCCAGACTATAGACTAGACTATAGTCCAGACTATAGACTAGACTATAGTCCAGACTATAGACTAGACTATAGTCCAGACTATAGACTAGACTATAGTCCAGACTATAGACTGGACAATAGTCCGGACTGTGGTCTAGACTATAGTCTAGACTATAGTCCAGACTTTAGGCTAGACTATATTCCAGACTATAGACTGGACTATAGTCCACACTATAGACAAGACTATAGAATAGAGTCTAGTCCAGACTATGTACTAGACTTTAGTCCAGGTTGTAGACTAAACTATGGACTAGACTAAAGTCAAGACTATAGACTAGACTAGCCGTTAGTCCAGACGATAGACTAGACTATGGTTCAGTCTATAGACTGGTGTATAGTCCAGACTGTATGCTAGACAATAATCCTGACTATTGTCCAGAGTATAGGCTAGACTATATTTCAAACTATAGACTATAGTAGACTAGACTATACTGTACTCCAGACTTTAGATTAGACTATAGTCCAGATTATAGACCAGACTATAGTGCAGACTTTAGACTAGACTATAGTCCAAACTTTAGACTAGACTATAGTCCATACTTTAGACTAGATTATAGCCTAGACTATAGACTGGACTATAGTCCACAATATAGACTAGACTGTAGTCCAGACTATAGACTACATGATAGTCTGGACTATAGAATAGACTATAGGCTATAGAATATACTGTAGTCCAGACTATAGACTAGACTATAGTCCAGACTATAGACTAGACTATAGTCCAGACTATAGACTAGACTATAGTCCAGACTATAGACTAGACTATAGTCCAGACTATAGACTAGACTATAGTCCAGACTATAGACTAGACTATAGTCCAGACTATAGACTAGACTATAGTCCAGACTATAGACTGGACAATAGTCCAGACTATAGTCTAGACTATAGTCTAGACTATAGTCCAGACTATAGTCTAGACTATAGTCCAGACTTTAGGCTAGACTATATTCCAGACTATAGACTGGACTATAGTCCACACTATAGACAAGACTATAGAATAGAGTCTAGTCCAGACTATGTACTAGACTTTAGTCCAGGTTGTAGACTAAACTATGGACTAGACTAAAGTCAAGACTATAGACTAGACTAGCCGTTAGTCCAGACGATAGACTAGACTATGGTTCAGTCTATAGACTGGTGTATAGTCCAGACTGTATGCTAGACAATAATCCTGACTATTGTCCAGAGTATAGGCTAGACTATATTTCAAACTATAGACTATAGTAGACTAGACTATACTGTACTCCAGACTTTAGATTAGACTATAGTCCAGATTATAGACCAGACTATAGTGCAGACTTTAGACTAGACTATAGTCCAAACTTTAGACTAGACTATAGTCCATACTTTAGACTAGATTATAGCCTAGACTATAGACTGGACTATAGTCCACAATATAGACTAGACTGTAGTCCAGACTATAGACTACATGATAGTCTGGACTATAGAATAGACTCTAGTCCAGACCAGAGATACAATCCGAGACGGCTATCACGGTAATATTTTGCAAGCTGCGCCGCCGCCGACCTAAAACGGTTGCGCTGCCGCCGCCGATCATTTTGCATTGGCTTGTATCCCTGGTCCAGACTACGTACTAGACTTTAGTCCAGATTACAGACTAGACTATAGTCATGACTATAGACTAGACTATAGTTATGACTATAGATTAGAATAGAGTCGATACCATAGATTAGATTAATGCCCAGATTATAGGCTAGACTAGAGTCCAGAGTATAGACTAGCTTATAGTCTAGACTATATTCCAAACTGTTAACTAGGTAATAGTCCAGACTATAGGCAATAGTCTCAATTATAGACTAGTATATGGTCTAAACCATAGACGATATACTATAGTTTTGATTAGATTATAGTCTGCACTAAGCTAAACTATAGTCCTGCCTATAGACTATATGATAGACCGGACTACAGACTAGTCCATCGTTAAAATGCGATAAAATTTTAAAAGGAAACATATCTGTGATAACTCCTATTTTTCTTTAAATTCACGGTGGTAAATTCTTAAAATACGTTTTAATTAAAAAAGGATAATCACAAATATTTTATTTATAAGTTCGAATTTTCTGTGGATAATCTTGAAAAAACTAAAATCGCTTTTAACTTCTAACATACATATATTATATTATTGTTTGTTTGAGAACCACTGATCTTAGAGGCTTTTTCCACACATATAAACAAACTATTGATTACCTTAATAAAACCTTTAGCCGTCAATTTGTATAGTTGACCATATTGACATCTGGTTAAAACTGTTAGAAAGTAAACGTTTGCATTATAGTTAAGCGTAAGTCAAGAAGCCAGTTAATCAGTCAACTATAACCACAAAATAAATCTCACACGACAGATGTCTAGAGAAAAGTTCCTAACAGGTTTAATGTACTTAAATAAAAAGAAAAAAAAATATTAATGACAAAACTAATAAGCGAAACAAAAGATATATTATTTATTGGCAAATTTAAACAAATAAAACTAATCATTCTTTTAATTTAAATGCTAAAGAGACAAAATTCTATAAGAACAACAATAACAATAATAATAATAACAACAATAATATTTATTAATTTGTTTTTAAATATTTAAAATATTTCAGTGGCTAGCTGAACACACGTTTGTTTTATAATATTTTAATACAAATTTTAAATAAAAACTTGCAAAACCACTAAATATTTATTTTTTATTTTTTATAAATGTTTTTTTTTTTTTGGAATATTCTTTTAGTTTTTTTGTAAATATTCAAATAAACCCATTACTTTTTAAAGTTTATTTTTATGCTTGTTCCCTCAGAACAGAAGCAAAAAACATTAATAGTGAATGTTTCTTTTTTTAAAGAATTATGTCAATACTTCGCTTCACTGCCAATAAATTAAACAGTTAAAATTAAATTAATTCAAACATTTTTTTATAAGGCGCCTTATACAAATTTGTTTAATAAGAAGATAAGAACGTTCTAGAAGTTTGCTAAAAATAAGATTAAAATTATAGAAATAAACAAATAAAACCAGCAGTTCAGAATATCCCCGTTTTTATAAGGGTATTAGCCAAAGGGTCACCTTAGCCGATTGTTGTTAAACGTTTGCTTCTTATTAATTTAATTAAGGTAATCTGTAATACTTCCATTGCATCGGGATGTATAGTATAGTGGTCTAAAGTCTAGTCTAGTCTATAGTCTAGTCTATAGTCTAGTCTATAGTCTAGTCTATAGTCTAGTCTATAGTCTAGTCTATAGTCTAGTCTATAGTCTAGTCTATAGTCTAGTCTATAGTCTAGTCTATAGTCTTCTAGTCTAGTCTATAGTCTAGTCTATAGTCTAGTCTATAGTCTAGTCTATAGTCTAGTCTATAGTCTAGTCTATAGTCTAGTCTATAGTCTAGTCTATAGTCTAGTCTATAGTCTAGTCTATAGTCTAGTCTATAGTCTAGTCTATCGTCTAGTCTATAGTCTAGTCTATAGTCTAGTCTATAGTCTAGTCTATAGTCTAGTCTATAGTCTAGTCTATAGTCTAGTCTATAGTCTAGTCTATAGTCTAGTCTATAGTCTAGTCTATAGTCTAGTCTATAGTCTAGTCTATAGTCTAGTCTATAGTCTAGTCTATAGTCTAGTCTATAGTCTAGTCTATAGTCTAGTCTATAGTCTAGTCTATAGTCTAGTCTATAGTCTAGTCTATAGTCCTAGTCTATAGTCTAGTCTATAGGTCTAGTCTATAGTCTAGTCTATAGTCTAGTCTATAGTCTAGTCTATAGTCTAGTCTATAGTCTAGTCTATAGTCTAGTCTATAGTCTAGTCTATAGTCTAGTCTATAGTCTAGTCTATAGTCTAGTCTATAGTCTAGTCTATAGTCTAGTCTATAGTCTAGTCTATAGTCTAGTCTATAGTCTAGTCTATAGTCTAGTCTATAGTCTAGTCTATAGTCTAGTTATCTAGTCTATAGTCTAGTCTATAGTCTAGTCTATAGTCTAGTCTATAGTCTAGTCTATAGTCTAGTCTATAGTCTAGTCTATAGTCTAGTCTATAGTCTAGTCTATAGTCTAGTCTATAGTCTAGTCTATAGTCTAGTCTATAGTCTAGTCTATAGTCTAGTCTATAGTCTAGTCTATAGTCTAGTCTATAGTCTAGTCTATAGTCTAGTCTATAGTCTAGTCTATAGTCTAGTCTATAGTCTAGTCTATAGTCTAGTCTATAGTCTAGTCTATAGTCTAGTCTATAGTCTAGTCTATAGTCTAGTCTATAGTCTAGTCTATAGTCTAGTCTATAGTCTAGTCTATAGTCTAGTCTATAGTCTAGTCTATAGTCTAGTCTATAGTCTAGTCTATAGTCTAGTCTATAGTCTAGTCTATAGTCTAGTCTATAGTCTAGTCTATAGTCTAGTCTATAGTCTAGTCTATAGTCTAGTCTATAGTCTAGTCTATAGTCTAGTCTATAGTAGTCTATAGTCTAGTCTATAGTCTAGTCTATAGTCTAGTCTATAGTCTAGTCTATAGTCTAGTCTATAGTCTAGTCTATAGTCTAGTCTATAGTCTAGTCTATAGTCTAGTCTATAGTCTAGTCTATAGTCTAGTCTAAGTCTAGTCTATAGTCTAGTCTATAGTCTAGTCTATAGTCTAGTCTATAGTCTAGTCTATAGTCTAGTCTATAGTCTAGTCTATAGTCTAGTCTATAGTCTAGTCTATAGTCTAGTCTATAGTCTAGTCTATAGTCTAGTCTATAGTCTAGTCTATAGTCTAGTCTATAGTCTAGTCTATAGTCTAGTCTATAGTCTAGTCTATAGTCTAGTCTATAGTCTAGTCTATAGTCTAGTCTATAGTCTAGTCTATAGTCTAGTCTATAGTCTAGTCTATAGTCTAGTCTATAGTCTAGTCTATAGTCTAGTCTATAGTCTAGTCTATAGTCTAGTCTATAGTCTAGTCTATAGTCTAGTCTATAGTCTAGTCTATAGTCTAGTCTATAGTCTAGTCTATAGTCTAGTCTATAGTTCTATAGTCTAGTCTATAGTCTAGTCTAGTCTAGTCTATAGTCTAGTCTATAGTCTAGTCTATAGTCTAGTCTATAGTCTAGTCTATAGTCTATAGTGTAGTCTATAGTCTAGTCTATAGTCTAGTCTATAGTCTATAGTCTAGTCTATAGTCTAGTCTATAGTCTAGTCCATAGTCTAGTCTATAGTCTAGTCTATAGTCTAGTCTATAGTCTATAGTCTAGTCTATAGTCTAGTCTATAGTCTAGTCTATAGTCTAGTCTATAGTCTAGTCTATAGTCTAGTCTATAGTATAGTCTAGTCTATAGTATAGTCTAGTCTATAGTCTAGTCTATAGTCTAGTCTATAGTCTAGTCTATAGTCTAGTCTATAGTCTAGTCTATAGTCTAGTCCATAGTCTAGTCTATAGTCTAGTCTATAGTCTAGTCTATAGTCTAGTCTATAGTCTAGTCTATAGTCTAGTCTATAGTCTATAGTCTAGTCTATAGTCTAGTCTATAGTCTAGTCTATAGTCTAGTCTATAGTCTTGTCTATAGTCTAGTCTATAGTCTAGTCTCTAGTCTAGTCTATAGTCTAGTCTATAGTCTAGTCTATAGACTAGTCTATAGTCTAGTCTATAGTCTAATCTATAGTCTAGTCTATAGTCTAGTCTATAGTCTAGTCTATAGTCTAGTCTATAGTCTAGTCTATAGTCTAGTCTATAGTCTAGTCTATAGTCTAGTCTATAGTCTAGTCTATAGTCTAGTCTATAGTCTAGTCTATAGTCTAGTCTATAGTCTAGTCTATAGTCTAGTCTATAGTCTAGTCTATAGTCTAGTCTATAGTCTAGTCTATAGTCTAGTCTATAGTCTAGTCTATAGTCTAGTCTATAGTCTAGTCTATAGTCTAGTCTATAGTCTAGTCTATAGTCTAGTCTATAGTCTAGTCTATAGTCTAGTCTATAGTCTAGTCTATAGTCTAGTCTATAGTCTAGTCTATAGTCTAGTCTATAGTCTAGTCTATAGTCTAGTCTATAGTCTAGTCTATAGTCTAGTCTATAGTCTAGTCTATAGTCTAGTCTATAGTCTAGTCTATAGTCTAGTCTATAGTCTAGTCTATAGTCTAGTCTATAGTCTAGTCTATAGTCTAGTCTATAGTCTAGTCTATAGTCTAGTCTATAGTCTAGTCTATAGTCTAGTCTATAGTCTAGTCTATAGTCTAGTCTATAGTCTAGTCTATAGTCTAGTCTATAGTCTAGTCTATAGTCTAGTCTATAGTCTAGTCTATAGTCTAGTCTATAGTCTAGTCTATAGTCTAGTCTATAGTCTAGTCTATAGTCTAGTCTATAGTCTAGTCTATAGTCTAGTCTATAGTCTAGTCTATAGTCTAGTCTATAGTCTAGTCTATAGTCTAGTCTATAGTCTAGTCTATAGTCTAGTCTATAGTCTAGTCTATAGTCTAGTCTATAGTCTAGTCTATAGTCTAGTCTATAGTCTAGTCTATAGTCTAGTCTATAGTCTAGTCTATAGTCTAGTCTATAGTCTAGTCTATAGTCTAGTCTATAGTCTAGTCTAGTCTAGTCTATAGTCTAGTCTATAGTCTAGTCTATAGTCTAGTCTATAGTCTAGTCTATAGTCTAGTCTATAGTCTAGTCTATAGTCTAGTCTATAGTCTAGTCTATATATAGTCTATAGTCTAGTCTATAGTCTAGTCTATAGTCTAGTCTATAGTCTAGTCTATAGTCTAGTCTATAGTAGTCTATAGTCTAGTCTATAGTCTAGTCTATAGTCTAGTCTATAGTCTAGTCTATAGTCTAGTCTATAGTCTAGTCTATAGTCTAGTCTATAGTCTAGTCTATAGTCTAGTCTATAGTCTAGTCTATAGTCTAGTCTAGTCTAGTCTATAGTCTAGTCTATAGTCTATATAGTCTAGTCTATAGTCTAGTCTATAGTCTAGTCTATAGTCTAGTCTATAGTCTAGTCTATAGTCTAGTCTATAGTCTAGTCTATAGTCTAGTCTATAGTCTAGTCTATAGTCTAGTCTATAGTCTAGTCTATAGTCTAGTCTATAGTCTAGTCTATAGTCTAGTCTATAGTCTAGTCTATAGTCTAGTCTATAGTCTAGATAGTCTAGTCTATAGTCTAGTCTATAGTCTAGTCTATAGTCTAGTCTATAGTCTAGTCTATAGTCTAGTTTATAGTCTAGTCTATAGTCTAGTCTATAGTCTAGTCTATAGTCTAGTCTATAGTCTAGTCTATAGTCTAGTCTATAGTCTAGTCTATAGTCCAGTCTATAGTCTAGTCTATAGTCTAGTCTATAGTCTAGTCTGTAGTCTAGTCTATAGTCTAGTCTATAGTCTAGTCTATAGTCTAGTCTATAGTCTAGTCTATAGTCTAGTCTGTAGTCTAGTCTGTAGTCTAGTCTATAGTCTAGTCTATAGTCTAGTCTATAGTCTAGTCTATAGTCTAGTCTATAGTCTAGTCTATAGTCTAGTCTATAGTCTAGTCTATAGTCTAGTCTAGTCTATAGTCTAGTCTAGTCTATAGTCTAGTGTAGTCTATAGTCTAGTCTGTAGTCTAGTCTATAGTCTAGTCTGTAGTCTAGTCTATAGTCTAGTCTATAGTCTAGTCTATAGTCTAGTCTATAGTCTAGTCTATAGTCTAGTCTATAGTCTAGTCTATAGTCTAGTCTATAGTCTAGTCTATAGTCTAGTCTATAGTCTAGTCTATAGTCTAGTCTATAGTCTAGTCTATAGTCTAGTCCCTATAGTCTAGTCTATAGTCTAGTCTATAGTCTAGTCCTAAGTCTAGTCTATAGTCTAGTCTATAGTCTAGTCCTTATCAGTCTAGGTCTATAGTCTAAGTCTATAGTCTAGTCTATAGTCTAGTCTATAGTCTAGTCTATAGTCTAGTCTATAGGTCTAGTCTATAGTCTAGTCTATAGTCTAGTCTATAGTCTAGTCTATAGTCTAGTCTATAGTCTAGTCTATAGGTCTAGTCTAGTAGTCTAGTCTATAGTCTAGTCTATAGTCTAGTCTATAGTCTGTCTATAGTCTAGTCTATAGTCTAGTCTATAGTCTAGTCTATAGTCTAGTCTATAGTCTAGTCTATAGTCTAGTCTATAGTCTAGTCTATAGTCTAGTCTATAGGTCCTAGTCTATAGTTTAGTCTATAGTCTAGTCTATAGTCTAGTCTATAGTCTAGTCTATAGTCTAGTCTATAGTCTAGTCTATAGTCTATAGTATAGTCTATAGTAAAGCTTGTAGTCGTATGGATTATGATCTATTCTAGTGCTATATCTAGATAGTTTCATATACATATTCTGGATCGTTTTTAATTGACCTTCGCAGAAAGGAAACCGATACAGCATTAAGCAAGTAATTGTGTCTGACAAATAAAGTTTGGGCTATGATAGTTGTTCTATCACAGATCAGTTCAGAACGGTTTTTGTCAAATTAATTCAAAATTAAAAACACTGTCAACTTGACACTTTTAGATCTATTAAAGGATATTTAAAAACACTTTTACAAAACACATGATAAGAACACTTCAATTTAATATACACAAATTTCCTCGTGGAAGGATAGTTCAAACATTGATAATTTTGATCCAAGTGTTGTCTGTAAAATATAATATTTTTTCTGAATAAAACAGTGTATATAATTTTAAATATTTTAACAAAATAAATAACAAAACTTTATTACAATTACTTTGCACTACAACTATCACTAAAAGTAAAATAAATACGCCTGCCTAACTATTAAATACTAAACCATTTTTACAAATAATCTTCTTGCGACAACAGTTTGGATAATTGGCCTCAGGATCTACAGGTTCTCCCACTGTACAGCCTTCAGGGGGTATCATGGTAGCACAACTGTAATAAATTGAATGAAGATTAAATTAAACATAGAATTACAAAACATATATAAACATAAACCTACGTGACTATGGAGGCTTTGCTATTATCGTGGCAGGTAATTTTGGCACACATCTCGGGATGTTTAGCTACCGCACCGGGAGATAAAACTAATTGTTGCAACACACATTGACCGGGATGACCTGAGTTGGACAAAACGACAAGTATGTGTAATTTTTCTGCATTTTTTAGTTAAAAGTATTTTTTATATTTTACTTACTTGGATCGGCATATGTACCGATAGTTACTTCTGCTGAAACTTTAGCTTTCAGCGTTAATCTGACAAATATAAGACTCAATACTAGAAGTTCAAATTTCATGTTGCTGCTTTCAGTGTTAGAATTCAACTAATTAGTTGCTTGAGAAAGGTTTGCGATTTTAAATTAAAATAAACACAAACAAAATGGTAATTAAATAAAATGAAATGAAAAAAAAAAACAGTGTAGACGTATAAGAAGAACTAGAAGTGTATTCTTATCGGTTTAGTCATCGCTAGAATGATGAAGTTGTTCTATATTTAATTTTTTGAGAAAATTATATATACATTTTTAATTTGTTTATATTTATACGAATAAAAATATTTTTGGTTGAACAGTGTTTAAGGGTTGTAAAAAAATGGGATTTTTAGTTTTTATAAAATTGATCTTTTTCAGATTCTAATGTAAAAGTAAAGACATCTTGATCGTCGGATAGTCTAGTCTATAGTCTAGTCTATAGTCTATAGTCTAGTCTATAGTCTAGTCTATAGTCTAGTCTATAGTCTAGTCTATAGTCTAGTCTATAGTCTAGTCTATAGTCTAGTCTATAGTCTAGTCTATAGTCTAGTCTATAGTCTAGTCTATAGTCTAGTCTATAGTCTAGTCTAGTCTAGTCTATAGTCTAGTCTATAGTCTAGTCTATAGTCTAGTCTATAGTCTAGTCTATAGTCTAGTCTATAGTCTAGTCTATAGTCTAGTCTATAGTCTAGTCTATAGTCTAGTCTATAGTCTAGTCTATAGTCTAGTCTATAGTCTAGTCTATAGTCTAGTCTATAGTCTAGTCTATAGTCTAGTCTATAGTCTAGTCTATAGTCTAGTCTATAGTCTAGTCTATAGTCTAGTCTATAGTCTAGTCTATAGTCTAGTCTATAGTCTAGTCTATAGTCTAGTCTATAGTCTAGTCTATAGTCTAGTCTATAGTCTAGTCTATAGTCTAGTCTATAGTCTAGTCTATAGTCTAGTCTATAGTCTAGTCTATAGTCTAGTCTATAGTCTAGTCTATAGTCTAGTCTATAGTCTAGTCTATAGTCTAGTCTATAGTCTAGTCTATAGTCTAGTCTATAGTCTAGTCTATAGTCTAGTCTATAGTCTAGTCTATAGTCTAGTCTATAGTCTAGTCTATAGTCTAGTCTATAGTCTAGTCTATAGTCTAGTCTATAGTCTAGTCTATAGTCTAGTCTATAGTCTAGTCTATAGTCTAGTCTATAGTCTAGTCTATAGTCTAGTCTATAGTCTAATCTATAGTCTAGTCTATAGTCTAATCTATAGTCTAGTCTATAGTCTAATCTATAGTCTAGTCTATAGTCTAGTCTATAGTCTAGTCTATAGTCTAGTCTATAGTCAAGTCTATAGTCTAGTCCTATAGTCCAGTCTATAGTCTAGTCTATAGTCTAGTCTATAGTCTAGTCTATAGTCTAGTCTATAGTCTAGTCTATAGTCTAGTCTATAGTCTAGTCTATAGTCTAGTCTATAGTCTAGTCTATAGTCTAGTCTATAGTCTAGTCTATAGTCTAGTCTATAGTCTAGTCTATAGTCTAGTCTATAGTCTAGTCTATAGTCTAGTCTATAGTCTAGTCTATAGTCTAGTCTATAGTCTAGTCTATAGTCTAGTCTATAGTCTAGTCTATAGTCTAGTCTATAGTCTAGTCTAGTAGTCTATAGTCTAGTCTATAGTCTAGTCTATAGTCTAGTCCATAGTCTAGTCTAGTCTAGTCTAAAGTCTAGTCTAAAGTCTAGTCTATTGTCTAATCTAAAGTCTAGTCTATAGTCTAGTCTAAAGTCTTGTCTATAGTATAGTCTATAGTTTAGTCTATAGTCTAGTCTATAGTCTAGTCTATAGTCTAGTCTATATTCTAGTCTATAGTCTAGTCTATAGTCTAGTCTATAGTCTAGTCTATAGTCTAGTCTAGAGTCTAGTCTATAGTCTAGTCTAAAGTCTAGTCTAAAGTCTAGTCTATAGTCTAGTCTATATTCTAGTCTATAGTCTAGTCTATAGTCTAGTCTATAGTCTAGTCTAAAGTCTAGTCTATAGTCTAGTCTATAGTCTAGTCTATAGTCTAGTCTATAGTCTAGTCTATAGTCTAGTCTATAGTCCAGTCTATATTCTAGTTTATAGTCTAGTCTATAGTCTAGTCTATAGTCTAGTCTATAGTCTAGTCTATAGTCTAGTCTAAAGTCTAGTCTAAAGTCTAGTCTAAAGTCTAGTCTAAAGTCTAGTCTAAAGTCTAGTCTATAGTCTAGTCTATAGTCTAGTCTATAGTCTAGTCTATAGTCTAGTCTAGAGTCTAGTCTATAGTCTAGTCTATTGTCTAGTCTATAGTCTAGTCTATAGTCTAGTCTATAGTCTAGTCTATAGTCTAGTCTATAGTCTAGTCTATAATCTAGTCTATAGTCTAGTCTATAGTCTAGTCTATAGTCTAGTCTATAATCTAGTCTATAGTCTAGTCTATAGTCTAGTCTATAGTCTAGTCTATAGTCTAGTCTGTAGTCTAGTCTATATTCTTGTCTATCGTCTAGTCTATAGTCTAGTCTATAGTCCAATCCAATCGGATCATCGGAGAGCCCGTTAGGGTTTTCGTATCTAAAAGTATATCAATATTAGTTCCATTATAATCACTGTATTTCTATCCTTCATTGTTCTAAAATTAACTTTATCAGAAAACAACCAATTAATCTCACATTTCAGTTTAAATAAAATAATTCCGAAATTCCCCAATTTTTTATAGTTACTTGTTTTTCTTGCACTTTGTTTTCAAAAAACTTTGTTTATTTTCTAAACTGTAAAACGGCCAAATATTTATTTATTAATTTGTTATTTATTCAAAAAACAAACAGTTCATTACCCTATAAAAATATAATACTACTTATCTAATATGAGTAAAAGAAATATTATTATTAGCTCAAGACGTAATTAAAGACCATGGCACTTTCATTGTCAAGGTAAACTACAATGCATAAATCTTGTTAAAACAAGACTAAAAATCAATTAAAGACATTTATTTATATTATTGCGAGGGAACGGAAGAACAGTGATAACTGACGTCAATAATTGTATTTTTATCTGATTGAATTGCATACCAGAGTTATATAAGTTTAGCTTATACTTAAATGAGATATATTATTAAGAGGTACATACATATGTATGTATGTACATTAGAGTGCTCCAAGCTTGTATGAAGGAAAAAAAAATTTATCCGACAGGCCGTCCCCCCCTCTGGAATTGTTCTATGGGTTGTAAAACTATGTCATGCAAAAAATTAGGCTGATAGGATAACGTTAACAGGTGCCGCAACGGCTCAGAAGTTTCCAAGTGCATTTACAAGGGGAAAAAATCGATTTTTTTCAGTTTTTGCTCAAATTTTGCAACTTAATAATAAACTTTGCACTTTATTGTAAAGGAATCGTAATGTGCACAGAATAAGCATTTCAGAAAGATATAAAACACAAAAATTGGTTGAAAATTTTTAAAGTTATTGCAAATTCCCCAGGCCATTAACGTGTCTCACAGCACATGAATTCGAAATGTGACAAAAAAATTAAAATTTTTTAGGACATATTGTAAAAAAACCATTTTGTTACTTAAAATATACTAAAAATTACTTGAATACTAGCTTTTGTCCTTATACGATAACGCAAACTTGTTCTCAGCTATGGTCAAAAAAGTTTGATTTTTTCAACGGCCGTTTCAAATCTCCAATTTCAGTTTTTTTGAAACTTTGTTAAAGAAATTTTAAAATTTTTAGAAGATCTCATGGGAATTTATGGACAATAGATAAGGGAATAAAACGGTAAAAAAATTAGATCAATAATTCTTACAGTTTAGCTGTACCTGCGATTTGAACTCGGCGGATTTCGGGAAAATCGCATTTTTTTGTAATATATTAGAGAATACGTATTAATTTTTTACTGTTGTACATTTTAAACAAAGTATTTTCAGAGTATTATAGACCAGATAATATAAAATATATATTCCAAGTTTTATTCAATTCGGACATTCTTAACCCATAAAATGTGGAGTTCAAAGGTTAAATTTTGCTATATTTGGGAATTCTCAGTGCACCATATTAAAATATTATTTATTTGTTGGCCATATTTACCAAAAATTACTGGAATTTATCGTATAAAGTCCGATATTTAAAATAGAGTGAAAAAAAGGTAAATTAACACTTTAAGGCACTTGGGAACAATTTAACACCAAAGTTCAAAAATTTGAAAAAGCACTATCCATTTGAATAAAGCTCTATATAATTAGAGAAATAGCAGAAATATAACAAAAACGTATATATTAAGTATAAAAAATTATACTTTAACCCTTTTCGACTATGGAGTAAACTATAGGTGTACATTTTTAAAAGAAAAATTTTGTTTTTAAAACTGATAATTTATGTAGTCCATTTTTTCGGACCATTTTCGACATAATATGTCTAAAAATACAAACTTTATAGGTTCAAAAAGGGTTAATTCATAAGTTTTTATACCTAATATATATTTTTTTGTTTTATTTATGTTATTCCTCTAATTATATAGAGCATTATTCAAATGGATAGTGTTTTTACGATTTTTTGATCTTCGGGGTTAAATTTTTCCCATGTGTTTTAAAGGGTTAATTTTACTTTTTTTCGCTGCTATTTTAAACATAAGACTTTATACTAAAAATTCAAGTCATCTTTATTAAATATGACCGACAAATACATAATATTTCGATATGGTACACTGAGAATTCCCAAATATAGCAAAATTTGACCTTTGAACTCCACATTTTATGGGTTAAGAATGTCCGAATTGAATAAAACTTGGAATATATATTTTATATTATCTGGTCTATAATACTCTGAAAATACTTTGTTTAAAATGTACAACAGTAAAAAATTAATACGTATTCTCTAATATATTACAAAAAAATGCGATTTTCCCGAAATCCGCCGAGTTCAAATCGCAGGTACAGCTAAACTGTAAGAATTATTGATCTAATTTTTTTACCGTTTTATTCCCTTATCTATTGTCCATAAATCCCCATGAGATCTTCTAAAAATTTTAAAATTTGTTTAACAAAGTTTCAAAAAAACTGAAATTGGAGATTTGAAACGGCCGTTGAAAAATTCAAACTTTTTTAACC